ATAAAATTATTGGAAACACTGGTTTTTGAGGTTTTTTTTAAAAAAAAAAAAAAAAGTTCCCCCAAGATTTATAAGATGTGATCCCTTAAAGCCCGTTTTTGAATGGAAAAACCTGCTCTAGCAAGGAATGAAAAACATGATCAGAGCTTTGGATATTTAATGACTGAGCAACTGTTTTATACATGCAGACGTGAGGTTGAATACTTGCAACTTTTTCAAATGTCTTGCATGTCCACACACTCTCTATAGCTCGGGGATCCCCCTTCCGCACGACTAAATACTTAAACAGTACAAAATGGCCATTTTTCTTACTGTCCCAGGAGTGACACCCGGTTGTCCTGGTACTCCTGGCATATCACATCAGACGCTGGTACTTGGTACGGCTGAACAAAGTCTGGTTGGGGAATTTTAAATGTCAGGAAACACGCATTTCTTTCAGGATCAGCTTTACTACAGCAGTCAGCCATTGCACCATATGAGTCGCGGAGCTTTTCTACTTGGCAGATTTCATCCAGGAAAATGGTGGGCTATAAGGGAGATGCTGAGAGTCAGAATTGTTGTTTATAGACAGTGTAACGTACATTCTCTTTATCTGTCAAAGAAAACCCAGTTTGAAAAGTAAATACATTTTTACTGGATAAGATTTAGACCGTAAATCAGAATAATCCATTGTTTTGAACACATTTTCATGAAGTTTTAGTTTATGTGGTCCAATATAGAATCATAGAATCGTTTAGGTTGGAAAAGCCCTTTAAGATCATCCAGTCCAACCATTAACCTACACTACCAAGCCCACACTAAACCAATCAAGGGTAGACTAGCCTAAACCATGTCCCCAAGTGCCACATCTACCCGTTTTTTGAACCCCTCCAGGGATGGGGACTCCACCACCTCTCTGGGCAGCCTGTTCCAATGCTTGACCACCCTTTCCGTGAAGAAATGTTTCCTAAATTCCAACCTAAACCTCCCCTGGCGCAGCTTGAGCCCATTCCCTCTTGTCCTATCGCTAACCACTTGGGAGAAGAGCCCAACACCCACCTCGCTACACCCTCCTTTCAGGGAGTTGTGACTAAAAACTGTTACAATGCTTTATTGAAAAGAAAATAATTTTAGTTATCATTTGCAATACTCTGTGCAAGACAGTAATCTCCTTTTACTTCTAATCTGACTAGACTGAATTTTCAGATTAATTGAAGCAGGATTTGGTATTCTACTTGATGGTCAGCTTGGGAAACCTTTAGGGAGAACTAATGCGGTCGCATCATTTGGTTGGAGTGTTAGAGTTCGCAAGAACACAAGCACCTAACTTTCTAAAGGGCCGGGCTGAGCCTCCTAGGCATCCAGGGGTCTTACATATCTGTAAACTTCTCTTGTTACCTGATCTTAGAGGAATTATTAAAAAAAAATTCTTGAACTAAGTACCTTGAATTAGCACGCATACCTTTTCAGGTCACCCCAGTGTGAAAACCTGCACACTTTGGTCACTTTAATACCTAGAATTTGACCTGTATTTTACAGCTGGGGTGTTGGGACTAAATGCTAACGTTTATTTCCAGGCAGTGCTAAACATAATGTGCCAAAGCGTGGTGTTTGGGCTCCAACATATGGCTCCACAGATCATTCAGGCATTTCTGAAAGGGTTCAGAACCTGACAGTAACAAGTTCTTTGTTTCAGCACTAAAATCTGAGCACTGGCCGATAACAACAGCAACACCTGAAAGGATCAGGTATAAATCCTCAATGAGAATGATTCTGGTAGCTGCGTAGAATGAGGAGAAACGCAGTGCCAAAGCATTCGCTGCTTACCAGTGGTTTTTTGCACTTTGGATCATCTTCATGGGCCACACACTCCTGTGCCAGATCAACAACATCCTTCACCAGCTTAGACAGTCCGTCGTAAGAACATCTCTGAAGATACTGGGCAAAAGTGATCATGGCACTGAAACAGAAAGCAGTCGTGGAATGTGGAGATAAGAAACAATAACAGTCAGTTTTTTTTCAAAGGTGCTTCTGGATTCAAAATTGTTTGTTCAAACGACATGCACAAATGCTTCATCAGAGTACCATGAAGAGCATAGTACCGGATCCCATATCCTTCCTCTTCTCGCCTCCTTTCTGAAAAATGCTTTTAACCTTACTTGCCAAGAACAAAAGTCTTGAATAATAGATTAGAAAGAAAACAGAAAAGACTGTGATTTGAGTTTTCTGCCACTTGTACCAGCGTATTCTTAAACGCCATCAGCTAAGCTGGTTTTTGCCATTGTTACAGATGACAAACTTCAGGCCGCCTTCTATCAGCAGTAGTTATGTCCCTGTCAGGTCCCTCTGCTATTCCCAAAACAGGTTGCAAAAGAAAACTGTTGAATTGGCTCAGAAAACCTGTCGCAGGTTTGGTTTTTGATGTTGGTGGTTTGTTGGGGGTGGGTTTTTTTTGGTGTGGGTTTGTTTTTTTTTTTTCGGTAATGTCTCAATCCAGCGTAACTCCTCTCCATCCTAAGGCTATCAAAACTGTATTGCTCATACCTATTTTCTTTTCACGCAAGGAGCACGGGTTTTCTCATAAGGTTTGCAGGGAGTTCTTTTCCCAGAGAGCAACAAAGTCATTGTGACTTTTGCAGGTCTTAAAGTATTTGTAGGCTTTGCATAGTAACAGTAACAAGGCTAACTCAATGCCGCGCTTAGCGAGACACATACGCTCTTCACTAGCTCATACAGCGTGCTGCGGTTTCCCTTTTTTGTCCAATATCAACAGAGATGGAAAACAATCAGAAAACATAAGCTGAATGTTCACTTACACTGCCTTAAACGTCTCTTCCTTCAAATCATTGTAGCGATGGGCAATCTCGCTCTTGTGGTCTGTAAGAAAAACAGAGAGAACAATGATGCTCGCCGTCACGGTGGCTGTGCCAGACCCCTTAAGGAATACATTCCGGGCACCCTGGGCCAGATTTTTGGAAGTGTTTGGCACTCACCCAGCTCTTGTACTTAAAGGAGTAGTATCATTGTTTTGAAATGGACCAAGCTAACGCTGAGCGCTCGTAAAATCTCACCTTTGGGTACACCATCCTGGGTAATCTATACTGCTTTTTTGGGAACTTCAACCTAAAGCTTTCTTCAGGCCACCTTGAATTCTTTGTTGTCTCAGATGAGCATTCTTGTCCCTTAGTCTGCAGACCCCCAACTCTCACGCACGCCAATCTTTCTGAAGGAACCCAAGCACGCGATTTCTTAGGATTCTAATAAAACATTTACCTCTGCAAGCACAAACTTAATTCAACTATTCAAAATGACTGCTGTAGCTTACTATTAAGGGTTAGCAAACATGTCCTTTGCATAAACATCATCATTATCCTGTCTGCACTACAAATAAAGGGATGCAGCTGCAGTTTGATTAGCGCAAGCACTAGTAGAATTCTCTTTTGAACGCAAAACTATTAACTTGGCAGATTCATATTCTTGTTCCACTCGGTGCATATCATCTGTGCTCTTTAGGAGAAGGAAAGCAGGTAAACCCCTTCACTTGGTCCCGATGGTAAGGAATACAGGTTGTAGCTATACCTCGCTTCTGGCGAGAAGACTCCCGTAAGATTTTCCCAACTGCTACTGGGGCACGTGGCCGCACTAACGAATGAGCTAGAACGGGGCAGTCATTTTGTGCTAGAAATACCACTCAGGAGCATTTAGAAAACATAAAGAGTAATTCCTTTACCTCATGGAATATGCCTGCTTTGATAATAATGGTTTCAGTGCAGAAAATTGTAATTTAAAGTTTTTTTGCTGCTGTTGACTGGCATTTCCAGCCAGCTCCTGAAAACTCGGTTTTGTTAAATTTTGGGATTTTTTCATGTTTCAAACAAAAATCAAAAATATCAGTAGGAAAATTTCTAGGACTGCATGCAGAAATATTTGTTTGACCAAGGTCTGAAGTTTTATAATATGGGGAGAAATGACACAATGAGGAGTTTTTGGCTAGCCTTCTTATAGCCCAGACTGCGATGCAGATTTCTGGATTTTTGACCTACTCATGCGAAAACCGTTGTCTTTAATTGGTGAGGAGCTCGCTTATGAACTATCGTTCAAAAGACAGCACTTGCAAAAGCACAGCACATCCACCCTCTCCATGCTGCAACGTACCAGATTCTGAATAATCAACATCCATTCATGCGCTACACTGATGTTGCAAAGGGACGTCACCAAACTTACTCGCCCAGTTAAGTTGTCTGGAGCGTTCTAACCATCACCTTACCATTTCTTCATTTAGTTTCTTTCAGGTCAATCAAATTTTTCGGTTCTCTTTGGATCAGGCTTACGAGAATTGTTCGTGAAATTGCATTAAAGTCATTAAATTGATCCACCAGAGACTGCAAAGACAACTAATTAGTCCTTTCTTACCTGTGTCTCGAGCCACTCTTTGCAGATTCCTGGATGTAGCAGAACTAAAGAGGAAAATCAATGAAATTAACGCTACCCACTTCATGGCTGCAGATTATGAGGTGGGCTAAATTACTCGGAAATGCTAGGACGATTGAAGGGAAAGCATTTGCTTATATACCCTTTGCTACCTGTCTCTGTAAAATATTAACCACAGAGCTGGCATTTGTAGATTTCCATTTGGTCCGAAGAAGATTACAAAACTTGGACTGTCCTTGCCAAAAATGAATTTGATATTATTTGTTTATTATGTGTTACTCTGGGCCTTTTTGTCCTGAAAAGGTTGAACCTTCCAGCACCCAAATAGATAAAAGTTTTGCGTAAATTTCCTTATCAAATGACAAACAAGGAGTTCAAGGCATCAGACAAAAAAGTCATCAAGTCTAATCCTATAGCTTTTTTTTTCTTTTTTGCTAGTATTTGTTCAAAAGCAAAGCTGGTTGGTATTGTACAGTAACAATTCACCCAGACAGGACTCAGTCCACATACTTGCTTGTAATTAGAGAATTTTCATTTTAAATCCCTTCACAAAGACGAGATGGCTCATCTAGACTTTGGTATAAAAAATACAGACTGGTAAAATACAGCAACGAGCACAAAGACACAGGTAAGCAGCGGCTGCAATTTCAATTGGTTTTCAAATTCTGAAAGAAACAGAAGGCAAAGTATAGAGCGGGTATGAAGGAATCCAAATCTCACAATATGTGTAGCTCCCGAGTGGAACAATTTCATGCAGACAGCGGACCTGTGTCCGTAAGTTGGAACAGACAGTTTTACACTGCATAATACTGCGTCTCCCTCCAAATTTTGGGATGTACACTTAGGGTAACATGCAAGAGGAAAGCTGCTCAAACAGCCAAAGGGCTGACTTAAGCACCTGATTTTTTTTACGTCCTGTTCTGGTTTTCTGTGGGTACTGCTATTCGCCAGGATCCAGAAAACTGCCAGATGCATATGGAAACATTTGCAAGAGTTGTCATTTCATAATTTTTGCAATTCCTCATTTGCACTGACATCCTCCCAAGAGCAATCTCTTAATTAAGCACCGCTCTCCTCTTTGAAAATTTGCTATTCATTACTCGGTAACTTAGGAGAGCAGACACAGGAAGAACTGTGAAGTTTGCACAGAGCCCTGGGACATGGAATGAAATTGAAATTATTTTTCCGGAACACTCAGTGAGAGGCTTAAAAAAAAAATAACAACAAGTATAAGGTTGGACCTGTACTGAGTGCAAAGTGATGTAGTTCCACAGTGGGAAATACTCTGATTTGCTTTTAATGGATTTCTCTCTCTGGTGGCTGCATGTCAAGCCACACAGCTCTTCTCAGGGCGTTGCTGGAGGTCGTGGTCTGCCTCGCAACTCGCTGCTGCCGGTAGCAAGTACCCACCCGCTATAGCTTCAAGTCAGGTCTTCTATCCCTTCCTTAGTCCTTAAGGTTCCCTTTTCTACTCTGTTTTTTTTTTTTTTCCTCAAGTGGGCAGTTTTACCACAACTCTGTATTGTTCCTACTGGTAGTAGTATGAATAATTCAATTTTCAGTTTTCTGGCTATTTGGCAAAATAAAGGGGAAAAAAAACACCCCAAAACCCAAACCAAAACTTCACTTTGTTTCTAAACTTGAGTTTTTAAACAAGTCTTAAATAAATCAAATGACGTGTCTAAGCATAAAACATTTGCAGGCAATTTTCATTTAGAAAAATGTCAAGGCAATGCATCTTGTCTTTCAGAAAGACCATGCTGTTCTCCATGAATTACCACATAAAACTTAGATGAGTTTACAGAATAGTTTGATACAAGAAAATTTGTACTAGCTGCTGCTTTTGCAAAAAAGTTTTGCATTTTCCCAAGTCTGCTCCTGATATCTTTGTGGGTGAAAACCAGCGTTCTTGGTAGTAATTTAAAGGAACGAGGCTTTATTTTGGCAATTAAAGGTTATCTGCGTAACTCTTACATCAAGGATGGTGGGGGAAAGCCAAATTTGCAGAGAAGCACCCTGGTTTTGTCATTGTGTTAGAAATAGGAATTATTTTCAGGTGGTTGTACCAAAATCCCAACTTCTGGGAGAATGATGGGAATTACGATGAACAGTCTGGACTTTTCAGACCTGTGCTACTTTAGCCTAACAAAATCCCAGGAAAAAGCTAGTTAAACACTTCAGTCTGTAATTGGTTTTACTGACCATATCCCTCTGTCAAAGTCTTCTTTGACCCACCATCGCTAAAACGTGGGTCTTTTTGATTAACCTGTAACCTTCAGAATGGCTAAAGACTACCTAGCATTTTGCTGACAGTCCCTTACATCACTGACGTTTGGATATCTCAGCATTCTGAGTTTGGAAACTTGTGCACTGATTGCAGATCTTGCATTGATATAAATGGCGAGAGGTGGAACGGTGGATATAGGGGCTTAACAATACGTCTTCCACTATCTCAGATAAAATGGATGCAAGGAGCTAACTCAGCAACCTGACAAGTACCTTGTGACCCAATGAAAGCCACTGTAAAAATGGAATATAACTTTACTACAAGCATCAGCTTGATTTACCTGCATCTTGAACCTCTGTCTCCTTTCAAATCTTAACAGAGCGTTCAGTGAGATATAAACGCGCATTTAGGTGTCTTGTTGATAACCATCGAGTGAGAGCAAAAGGCAACCAGACTGGAGCATCGCCCAAGTCCAAGTGGTGAAAAACGTGGTAGTGGCAAATCATGCCTTAGAACAGCTCCTGAAGTGCTCTCAGGCTGCATCAAAGCAGTCTTCGGAAAATGACAGCTAAGGACTGGGAAGGGAAAGTATTTTCTGTCACACTGAAATTTAGCACAAGAAAAAGTCTCGATATGTAACATTGCATCTTGAAAGCTATCTGGAATTTTCCCCTGCAGCATTGTGCAGTGTTAGCAAGAACGCTACTGGTCTCCTAGAGTTAATATGTAAGTTTGTAATACAGGGTCCATGTTTATTTCTAGATATCTTCTGTTGTCTGTCCTGTACTTCATGCCAACATTTCATATAACTGCTGAAAGAGAGATCCGAATTCCAGTGCTGATGTTTGTTTAACAATATTAAATATTATACTGAGCTTCCTGTTACTCAATTCTTCCATACTGCATTGAGTACACTTTCAACAAAGCTGTCCCAGTATTACAGAAAGGAATGTATCAATTGCATTTTAAGACAAATGCATTTTTACTCACATTTATGCCTACAGTTACAGATGGTAACTAGTGTTATTTCAGATATGGGGGACCAAAGGACAGTAATTCCAAGGGTAATTGACCTGTGAAAAAAAGGATGCATCATTTTTAAATATTCTATCATAGTGTGCTGTGCAAAGAGGAAAAAGTAGATACAAAGTGCATTACTTCATTCTCGGACTCCCACCGGAGGAATACTTTCAGGGATACCTATTTAACCAACTTCTGTTTGCGAGGCTTCATTTTGTGCTGTGTGTGCTCTTATGCTGGATACCACGTAATTAGCAAGGATGAAGAGACGCCATGGTAGAGCCGTAGCTCTCAAGGAATTTCTGAGCCATGCATTTTACAATAACACCTCTTTTATCAGAAAAACCCCACCCGCTCACCTCTATGTTCAGGTGGTTTGCACTTGAAGGACATTGCAGGAGAGTGGAAAGCACTTAGAAATTGAAGGGAAAGCTATCCATATTTCACTGGGATTAGTGTTCCTGCTAAAAGTTACACACACATGAACCAAAATTTACTAAAATGGCATGAGATTTTTGAGTAACAAATTTGATATGCCACCATAAGAACAACTGCCAGAGCGCTTTTCTGAAAGTAAGTCTTTTTCAAAGTGATCTCTCAAAAACCAAAGACTGTTAGTAACCCTCTAATTCTGTGGCCCTCAATTTTAGTTACTGCTCTTTCTTCTTTGTTTTAAAGACCAAAAGTTTTGTTTGCGTGAATGGCCCGTGAGACATGCACCAAACCCAGAGACGTTCACATGCCAGGATCACAACTACTGCCAGTAACCACAGTTCTGTGTTGGAGGTGGTTTTGTTCTTTGTTTTGCTTTGGCTTTTCACAAACCTAGTGACAACATGAAGAAGGGCAGCCAACTACCAACTAGCAATTTTTTTTCCTTCCTCAAAATGAGAAATAGCCTTCTGCCAAAGCAGATGGAACCAGCAAAAAGCATGCTGCCTCTCATCTGTCTGCAGTTGGAGGTGAGATAATGCTGCAAGAGGTGTCACCATCTCCTCTTTCCAGTCCTGTGGTTACAGACATGTGGCTTAGCTGTTATTTTTGTTTTTTCCCATTAGAGAGTAGCTCATTTTTCAAATATCTGTAATTATCAGTATATTTCTAAATAAAAGTTTGTAGTTCTGGACACAGGGTCAGGTACCAGTCTTTTCCTGCTCTGGTGCATTATGTTTGCTATTCTTATCACTGATGTTTGGCTCCCATGCAAAACAAGTCAAACATCTCCAACAGATATATGCCTTTTATTTGAACAGAGATGGACTCATAGATATAAAATGAGCAAGAAGGCCCATCTGATGAGCAAACATAAACATGAAAAGGATTTGATCACCATAGCAGAATAGGCAGAAACCTGCTAAGGTGTAGCTAACAGCATTCCATGACAGGGCATATCTTCTGGGCAGATCCTCAGTTCTGATGCTAAGCCATTCATCTCGGGTGATCAGCCACTCGTCTTGCAGTTTTACAGACTTCTCTCTCATTAAAATAAGCATTTTTGAATCAACCAGAATGACTATTTGTAGTCTCACTGCACCTAAATAATTCAAACATCTAATTCCAGTAAGCTCTGTTTGTAATTTACTGTCTTATTCCTGTAGTCCTCTGCTGGAATGGATTCAAGATCACAAAGCAGCATCCTCAACACCGAAACAGTTTTGCAAACCTGAACTTCATGCCAAAATCTAGAATGTAGACAAGAGTGGCCAGAACATGCAGGATTCAGTGCTTGCTTCAAAGTGAGGGAGAAAGACCTCAGACAGCGTAACATGTAGACCTCATTGTCCCCTCTATGCTCTCGCTCTCTATCAACAAGTCCATATGAAAAGCAGACATTTTCTAAATTATTCTGAAAAACATACAAAA